GGCAACGTCCTTGCAGACGGCCAATTCTCTCACACCAGAAGCGACTTGCAGTTTCTCAAGTCGCTCCTGACACAAAAATAGTTAAAATGTGAAACATTAAAATTCATAAAACAACAATGTAAAACAAATAAGCAATAGCATAACACAGTATAAAACAGGGGTCCACAAACTTTTTAAACAGAGGGCCAGATCGCAGCCCCTCAAACTGTTGGAGGGCCGGATTATAATTTGAAAAAAACATGAATGCATTCCTATGCATGCTGCACATATCTTATTTGTGGTGTAAAAAACACTTAAAAACAATACAATAATTAAAATGAGGAACAATGTTAACAAATATAAACTTATTAGTATTTCAATGGGAATGTGCGCCTGCTTTTGGCTGATGAGATAAGATTGTTGTTATGTGCTTTCAAGTTGTTTCAGACTTAGGTTGACCCTGAGCTGAGTAAATGACCTTGGAGGGCCGCATCCGGGCCCCGGGCCTTAGTTTGAGGCCCCTTGGTATAAAACAACCATTGAGCATACTGAAACCTGAATTAGATTCACCACTTCACTCTACTGGAGAGATATCAACTTGTGTGGGTGAACTCAAAAGTTTGCAGTGGATCCTCCTGGTGTATCTTCTCTTACCACTTAACTTTCCTATTATAAGCAGTGGTAGATTCTTATAATTTCTAGTTCAGCTCATCCCTGAAATTCTGAAGAAGAAATTGTGTGTGCATGTGTGCTTCGTTTATCAATGTCTTAGAGACAATCACTTGGTCACTATTGGAAGCAGAAGAGGGTGGCCCTTTGGTCTTGTCCTCATTTTGTGTTCTTGTATTTTTGAGTTGAAAGGCTGCTATCTCAGGATCAAACACTTTTTGCTATCAAAAGACTGCTATCCTAGGATCAAAAGATACATCTCTGCTTTTGCTCGAGCATACACTACTGAGAAAGGTCACCTCTTTGCAATTTGAGAGCAAAGGGGCTTTGAATAAGTAGTAATAGAACAGGAAACGTGGTTTTCTTTTATTCTCTGTGTATGTGTGCATACAGACATGCATGCGTGTGTATATATATATTCCAGGGTCGTATAGAGTTGCCGACTTCTATGGAAACAGTCAATACAATACAATACAATACAATACAATACAATGGAAGATCAACCAAAATTAAAGATAGACTTGAAACAGTTCACCTGAACCACTATCATTAACTTTGATTACATTTGAGCATTCCCTTGCATTCCTCTTCTCTCGCCTTTGTTGTCAAATATCCTACATAGTGTGTTCAGTTTTTTATGAACAAATTGTGGGCTTGGTACTCTTTGTTGGGACTTTAAATTCAGTGAAAATAGCTTTACTTAGGTGATCCCTCGTTGCCTGAGTAGGATAATCTTCCTGGATCAGCATTCTGGTGGGTCCGTAGGTGACTGTGGAGCCCTCTTCTTGAACTGCATCTTCTCCTGCAGTGAGTTTCCAGGTGGAAGGTGGTCTCGGTCGGGATTGGCTTGACGTGCCTTCCTCTTGGCACGTTTCTCTCTTTTGCCCTCTATTCGCACCTCTTCAAATTCTGCAGCACTGCTGGTCACAACTGAACTCTAGCTGGAGCGCTCAAGGGCGAGGGCTTCCCAGTTCTCAGTGTCTATGCCAGACAGGCCCGTAGCCAGGATTTCGTTTCGGGGGGGGGCTGAATTTTTTTCAGGGGGGTTTCGGGGGGGCTGAGTCTGAGTGAAAGAGGGTCTAGCCTAGCAAACCTTTTGTATCATTACCCCAATACCCCCATGCATATGGGATATATTGAGTATGGTGATCAGATCATGATATAAATAAACATAACAGTTTAAATAATGCACCAGTAAGGCCTTTTCGCGAACCACCATGAGAATTTCGGGGGGGGGGGGCTGAAGCCCCCCCCCCCCCCCCCCCCCCCCCCCCCGGCTACATGCCTGATGCCAGAGTTTTTAAGGTTGGCTTTGAGCCCATCTTTAAATCTCTTTTCCTGCCCACCAATATTCCATTTTCTGTTCTTGAGTTCAGAGTAGAGCAACTGCTTTGGGAGATGGTGGTCGGGCATCTGGACAACGTGGCCGGTCCAGTGGAGTTGATGATGGAGGACCATCACTTCAATGCTGGTGGTCTTTGATTCTTCCAGCATGCTGACATTTATCTGCTTGTCTTCCCAAGAGATTTGCAGGATTTTTCGGAGGCAGCGTTGATAGAATTATTCTAGGGATTGCATGTGACATCTGTAGATAGTCCATGTCTCGCAGGCGCAGAGCAGGGTTGGGAGGACAATAGCTTTATAAACAAGCACCTTGGTATCCCTACGGATGTCCCGGTCCTCAAACACTCTCTGCTTCAGAGCTGATCAAATCAAGAGCGTATTTACACAGAAGAAAAACTAGCGGATCATGTCCTGTGGGTATATAAATCTATAGTCTTGCCCCCAAATTCCTTTGTTTTGTGAAGTTTCATAAAATCAGCTGAAGGTTACAAAGAATATGAATATAAGTTGAAATGACTCTGAGATTGAATAAATCTGACTTACACATCGAAGTTGTGGGAACTATTAATCACAAACCACACTATCATGATAGGAGTGCTATTGAATTGTGTTACAACAAGGACGATTTTCTATTATGAGTACTTGTTAGCTAAAGATGTTAAGATAATCTCTGTTGACAGTCAGTTGATGTTCCTAAGGCTAAACAAAACAGTCCATACTTACTTCCTAAAAGGAGCATGTAGGGGTTTTTTAAAAAAGCTTGGAATGTGCCCAACAAGGAAGAAATGTGACAGATAAATAACTAGCAAGTGGCAACCTTGCAGAACAGCTTTCTGTTGGCTTATGAGAAGGAAATAGAAATTTAGATGGTGTTCTCAAAGCCGGTCATAGTGTCTGCTTCAGTGGATGCAATCTTACAGTTGTTTTATCAACTCATCTGTGTTTAGATAAACACATGTTATAGACCCACCTCACGTTTCTGGGATTCCTTCCTCTTGGAAGGGCCAGCTAGGAACATCCTGCCAAGCACAGAAGGGAGTCCTTTCTCTCTGTTTTGACTGTGAAAGGTGATGTTTTGCAGAGAATGCCTTCAGGGTCTTTTCAGTAAGATAGGGGTGTATAACTCAGCATGGCATAGGTCTCTATTCAGACATTTAGACCAGTGTTTCTCAAAATGTGCTCCTCCAGGTGTTTTGGGCTTCAGCTCCAAGAAACCCAGCCAGCTTGTGGGATCTGAAGTCCAAAACATCTGGAAGAGCACATTTTGAGAACCTCTGATTTAGACTGTGCTGAGGATGTCGAATTAAGGCTATTTGGAATTCTTTAAAATAATTCATGCTAGCAATGACATTTAATTATAAAAACTGTAGGGTTCTTGAACAAGTACTGTCTGCTATAATTGCAACTTCAATACTTTAATTTAGCCACCAGTTAATTTAGGATGGCTTTACAGTAGAAATGCCCTGATGATTGTAGCATAGGTTATTCAATTTAGGCAGTTCCAAATCACTTAATTCAAAACTGGCTGTGTTCAAGGCAGCTTCATTACATGGCATTATAAAGGGAGGGGGTTTGGTTTTGGGGTTTTTGTTTTTTGTTTTTTTGATAGATTGGTTTGTGAGGAGGGAAATTAAGCAGAGTAGCAGCTGTATACCAACTCAAATGACCCAGGTATAAGCCTAGAAATGTTCGTAAAAGAATCAGCTTAGAATATCTGAGTCGCGTTATCCATAGGTCAGTCTGAGTACCTATACCTTAACTCCTATTTTAAAAGGAGCTATCACAGAGCTTTAGTTCACACAAAGAGAAATAAAAGACACTCTGATCCCCTATACTGCAGAACTGTTTCTGCCCATTTTGAATGCTTAGTTGGGGAAATGGTCACAGTGGCCTGGGAGGTAATATCAAAATCTGTGATTTTGGCTCCAAAACTTATCCTCGACTTATGTGTGAGGTCAACTTATATATGCATATATACGGTAAACCAAGGAGTGAAACTGTATGATAGAAAACTGTTCCCTCCGTGAAAGGGATGGATGGAGCAGCAGGCATTAATATTTATTGATTTATTTATTCACCGTATTTATATTCTGCCCTTCTCACCCCGAAAGGGGACACAAAGCGAATCACAGAACACATATATGGCAAACATTCAATGCTGTTATACACTGACAAGAGAGGCAACTGTACATAGATAGAGGTATATGTAGGCTTTCCCATCTTGGAGGCTGTGCTCGGTTCTGGCCACACGGGGAGTGGGGGTGCTATCTCTCCACTTTCCCCGATGAAGAACTTTGTTCATAAACATCCTCCTTCATCAAATTGCCAGCATTTTTCTGGCATTTCCTTATGGGTGCCTTTAAATACCTCCTCGCTTTGTGGTACCTATTTCACATTGCTGTTTTCGAAACTGCTAGATAGGCAGAATCCAGGCTAAAGGCCAGGAGTTCACCCTGACCCGAGTTTCGAACTGTCAGCCTTTCAGATGGCAAGATTTTTTGAAGCTGGCAGCTAACCAGTACACAATGTACACAATAATATAGGTGTGCCACAATGAACCATAGACATGTCCATTGAACTAAAAGTGCATGTAAATTCTTCTCCTATGCTTTTTAATCGACATATAAAGGGATCCAACAACATCAAAACTGGATTAATTTTTTTTTGTTCTCCCAAAGAGAAGACTAAGTTATTTTTGAAACTATTATAGTATGTCATGTGTAACCAATAAGCTAGGCTTCCCAGGATTGGCTTGTCGTCTCGTGAGAACTGGCCAACATTGGAGTTACTGTAGCATCTAATTTCACCATAAATATTTATCAAAAAGGTTTGCAGTGGCCAAGGGAGAAGAGAAATGATTTAAAACTAACATGAACAATAGGACACGGTAGAGAAAGATGCCAAGATGGTCAACCTAAAGAAGCACTTGGTTTGGTTGTTTAATTAGTATATCTTTACTGTGAACTGAACGTTTCTGATAGCTTGATCTTTTGCTTTTTCCTTGCCAGCTCTCCATGAATTCCCTAGTGACATCTTCACAAATGAGGACCGGCGGCATGGAGCAGTAGTTCTGCACGCCTTTTGTGTGAGTCATTGTTCGTCTGTCTACAAATAATGTTGTTGTTTTTTGCAAAACCAAACACAAAATAAAGTACATGCTTTTCTCATAAATATCCTCAAAATCAAAAGAGGAACTAGTAGCAGCAATAATGAATAATGCCAAGAGGCACCGAGTCTTGGACCGAAATACTCCCCAAAATAATGTTTAAAAATGCCAGTAAAAAGTGAAGGCCTGTGGCTACCACAAAATACAAGGATATGTATTTTTAATTCACTGATTCTCATCAGAGATATGCATAGGAAGGAGTTATTCTCTTTAGGGTTTACTGACTTACTTCTGTCGTTTATTTCAGTGTATTCCATTTTCATAGTTCATGGACTCAGTGGTGCTTGCATTTAAATTCATTATGAATTGACTGCCAAGTATCTTGAAGTGATGTGGCATCTGTTCTGACAGTATCAAAGCTGTATGGCCAATTCAGACATTCAATTCCACTGAGGATTCCCAATTTGTTATCATGAGTGTTCTCCTCACAGCATGGAGAAAGTGGCAAATGTATCAAGAATACTACATTTATATGTACACAGCAGTCTTTTGGCTTTTGACTAGGTGTTTGAAATGCTGCCCTTAGTAGTGAAGAACATAGATTTGGCAACTCAAACCCAGTGGTGCTTTTCTTATCAATATTACATGAGCCATCCAAGAAAATGGGAAAAGAAATGGTAATGCAGTTCTCCCAACTGCTAAGAATGATTTCAACCTCCTCTCTTACCATCACCCAAAAGCCATTATTTCCTTGGTTTGCTAGCAACCAGCCATGGTCTGTGCATATTCCTGTAATGTTCACAAGTTTTGTATCTGATAAGCACTCAACTGCACAACAAAATCTAAAAGTTATTTTTTTTTGTCAAATGATTCTTGAAGATGCCAGTCTTTAGACCTGGAATATCAGCCTAACAACAACAACAACTTTGAAAACTTTGAAAAAGGAGACAGAGGGCCTGATTCTGGCATCCCAAGAACAAGCCGTTAGAACAAATGCCATCAGAACCAGAATTGAAAAGTCGGCTACAGATCCCAAGTGTAGACTCTGCAAGGAAACAGATGAAACAATAGATCACATCCTCAGCTGCTGCAAGAAGATTGCACAGAGAGACTATAAGCAGAGGCATAACACTGTTGCTCAGATGATTCATTGGAACTTGTGCCACAAATACCATCTGCCTGCGTCAAAGAACTGGTGGGATCACAAGCCTGAAAAAGTTACAGAAAATGAACATGTCAGACTACTCTGGGATTTCTGAATTCAGACTGACAGAGTTTTGGAGAACAATACTCCTGACCTCACAATCGTGTTGCAATTCCAGGTGACAGCAGGATTGAAGAGAAACAGCTGGAAAAGCTGATACGATACAAGGATTTAAAGATCAAACTGCAAAGACTCTGGCACAAGCCAGTAAAGGTGGTCCTAGTAGTGATGGGCACACTGGGTGCAGTGCCTAAAGACCTTGGCCTGCACTTAAATACAATCGGCACTGACAAAATTACCAGCTGCCAGTTGCAAAAGGCCACCTTACTGGGATCTGCACACATTATTCGCTGATACATAACACAGTCCTAGACACTTGGGAAGTGTCCGATGTGTGATCCAATACAACAGCCAGCAGAGTGATCTTGTTTGCTGTGGACTCATCTTGTTATTTTTCAAACAACAACAACAACTTTATTCTTCTTATATCCCGCCACCATCTCCTCAAAGGGACTCAGGGTAGCTTACACATGGCACAAGGTGCCTAAAAAAGAACATAAAATAAAATACAATATAAAATACAATTAAATAAAATATATAGCCATATAAAACAACAACTTAAGACTCAATTAAAACAGCGTTCATCAACCAATGGCAGTAAGCTACTGTAAACGTGGCCAGGCTGTAAACAATAGGACAAGGGAATAGGATAAGTGTCAAGCGGTAACCATGGAATGAGGACATGGGATAAAGTTCAAGGCTGTGTAACTATTGTGTAGAACAACTAGGAACTAAGCGTTCTCAAAAGCTAGTTTGAACAGCCAGGTCTTCAGGTTCCTACAGAAGGAGAACAGTGTGTAGGCCTGCCTGATCTCCCTGGGGAGGGTGTTCCAAAGCCAGGCGGGCACCACTAAGAAGGCCCTTTCCCATGTCCCCACCAACCGCGCTTGTGACAGTGGCAGGACCGAGAAGAGGGCCTCCCCGCCAGATCATTGGGGGGGGGGGGGTGTGATGCTGTCACGAAGATCGGCAGGACCCAAACCATTTAGGACTTTATAGGTAATAACCTGCACTTAAAATTGGGACTGGAAACTTATCGGCAGCCAATGGTGCTGCTTTCATAGGAGCATTGTGTGCTCCCAATAGCTAGCTCCAGATAGTAGCCTAGCTGCTGTTCTTTGCACCAATTGCAGTTTCTGGGCCTTCTTCAAAGGCAGCCCCACCTCAGCTTTACTTCCCAGATTTAAGTGATTTTGGAGAACCAAGATAGAAGTGTACAGCTTCTGAATTGGATGTCATTACAGAAAACATTTATCTTGCCAAGAGGCAACACGGCTTTGACCATATGGATATGCTCTTGGGTTGCCAAATGTCTCTTCCTCTCTAGAGACATTTTGTTTTATAAAAATATTCTTTATTTTAAGGAAATAGAATGGTCCTTAATTTCAAAGCTATGAATACATAGTGCATAATGGCATGTTCCTTAGCTTTTAAGCACTAATCAATACAATGTTATCTCATATTATTAAATTAATGTTTTAGAATATGTCAGGGAAAGAGGAAAGATAGTGTAGTCTAGCAAGAATGAGAGTCTCCGCTTTTGATTCCTAGAAATAATATTTGCAGATATATCCTTTGCTTCCCTTTGTGCTCTTTTTATTTTTAGTACTTTAACAAGAATTTAAAAAAATAGACCAAGGCTAGCAAAAAGTGGTTGACAGTTGACATACCATGTTGTCAGTCAAATCTGTTACAATAATAAAGGAGAATATGTGTCCTTGTGATTGTGTCACTCCATCATAGCTGTGATGTGATAAACCTAGACACCTGAAATTAGACAAGGATACTAATGGGGCTGTAGCAGTGTGTACCTTATGGGCATTTTGTACCTTTTAATTGCTTGGTTCATTTTATTTAATTAAACTCTGTTGGTAGTCTGAAGTACTATTGGTTACTGAGTGGAATTCCCAAATCTTCCTTCCTTACAAGAGAAAAATTGCTGTCAGACCTGCAGTAATGTTCTGTAGGGTTTCAGGGCATTTCTAATTATGCTTCCACATGCACCCCCCCAAAAAACCCCCCTTCAAGCTGTATGTATGTAAGAGATGGCGAGGAGACATGCTGTTACCTGATAAGTGTCATAAGTAGAGAAGAAGAATGAGGAGCTGGAAAAGCTAAGCAAGAGTAGAAGATGAAAAGAAAGACAAAAGGAGGAAGGGAGGGGAAAATAGAAGAAGCTAAGGAAAAGAGAAAGAATTCTAGCAAATGGTATTTTAACACTTACTGTTTATACTCATTTATAAGTCTAGAAATGTAGTTAAAAACCAACCCCAAAAACCTTGATTTAACTTGATAAAGGTAAAAGTTTCCCCTTGAGTCCAATTCTGGGGGGTGGTGCTCATCTCCATTTCTAAGCCGAAGAGCTGGCGTTGTCTGTAGACACCTCCAAGGTCATGTGGACAGCATGACTACATGGAGCGCTGTTACCTTCCTGCAGAAGCAGTACCTATTGATCTACTCACATTTGCATTTTTTCGAACTTCTAGGTTGGCAGAAGTTGGGGCTAACACCAGGAGATCACCCTGCTCCCTGAATTCGAACTGCTGACCTTTCAGTCAGCAAGTTCAGCAGCTCTCTGTGGGATTTAACTTACCCATTAGTTAATATAAATACTGTTACTTAACTCTTATTTAAAAAAGGAAACATCTCTGAGTAGAATGGTGAAAGGTGAGAACTTATTATCTGGAGAACCTTAAGGAAGAATTGATCCCCCTCTGCTGTCTCCACCACAGTGCTGCTTCTGGTCTTTTTGAATGCCTGGGTAGGAATATAGCAAAGATCATACCAAAAGACATAATTTTGGCCCCCAAACCTGCCCTTGACTTATACATGAGGCCGATTTATACATGAATATGTGGTAAATGTTAGTACTTACAGATAATCTTGCTAACTACATTTGCTTTAATAATCACCATGCAGTAAAATAATGGTTTCAAAAACAATTAGGTTTTTTAAAAAGGAAAATTACTGAACAGAAGGATCTTAATATTAAAAAGAAATATCTGATAATAAAGGGACCTAAAGGTACAAAGCCTTTAGCAAGGAATCTTGTGAGTCTAATTTTTGAGATCAATTCAAGGGGTGCAGTGGTTTTTAACTTTGAATATGTTTAAATGGTTTTTAACTTTAGTTTAAAAAATATTGTTTGTATTTAATCCTGTTTTAATGTTTGTATATTTGTAGATTTTAAATTATGTGCTGATGCTAATTTTAAAATCAGCATTTGCAAGGCTTGCAAATAGGCTGATTTTCCTCTTTATGAAGTACAGCTGAAGCATTTTCAATCCACTGTGAACACTACAGACGGTTGCTAACAGATTTATGTAAATGTCTAGGAACATTATCACAGTAAGTGTGGGATTCACCACAAATCTTAGCAAATCCATGGGATTCCAGCAGGGTGTGTGGAGAATCCTTCACCCCACATCACCCAACTTACTGCTCGTCCCATCCCACGGGGGAAGCATACACTGCTCAGCTTCTACATTGTAGCAAAGGCAACACAGGAAGTCTCCCATGTTACTGCCTCCATGTTGTATGCCATGGTGTACCCTGCTTGATCTCCCCTTTTGCCAGCCTGGATGTGCATTGTGCATTGTGATGTGCATTGTGCATTGTGAAGTAGATGTGCATTGTGTAATGGGCTCTGTGGTGAAAGCAAGCAGCGTGTGATGGGAAAATTGCCCCATCTGATGTTGGTAGCACTCAGAAACCA